TGGTTCTGGTCCTGGTTCTGGTCCTGGTCCCGGTTCTGAACCAGTAGTGAGGACAGACTGACCTGTTGGTTCTGCAGGATTAGAACCCCATTCTAGAACCGCTGGTTCTGTTCGGTTTATTATGTTCGATGTGAGATCAAACAGATTGTTCCGACCGACCCAAATGTTTGATTAATTATTTATTAATAATTTATTAAATGATTAATAATTATTAATAATCAGCCTCATTCTGATCATTTCCTGTCATTAAACAATTATTTAATTATAATCAAACAAAGGAAACATTTTTTCTGATTGTGGAATAAAGATAAAGGTTTAATAATGTAGATATATGAATCCTAGCTTCAATCTTTTTATTTATTAATTCATTTATTCTAATATTTCTTCTTTATTTTTTATTCTGCTTTTTTCTCCACCTTCATAAAAACAGAGTTTCTTGGTTCTGTTTAATTTTTAATAATCTGTGAAAACTTTTAGAAGCTGCTGAGAACATTTCTGGTTTTCTTCTCCTAAATCCTTCCTCTGATTGGTTCACTGAGCTTCATCATCATCCTCCTCCTCATCCTCCTCTGGTCCTCAGGACCTCTGGAGGTCATCAGGGTTCATGCTGGGTTCTAATCCAGATTAAGAGCAGAAATGTTCCCTCTACCAGGACTGGCACATCTAGGTGACTCAGATCTTCATAGTCAATAAATTCTCTGGATGAACTTCTGGAGGTTTTCAGTTTTTTCTTCTTTTCCATCTTCAGATTCTTTGAAGGACAGAAAGAAAAAGGTTTTATTCAGAATAAACTTAATCCAGAGGCTGGAAAAAGATCATAAACTGGCTGCTGATAGACCTGGATTTACCCCTCAGCAGGGGTGGAAACTAACTAAGTACATTTACTTGATTATTGTACTTAAGTACTTTTTTTAAGTATTTTTATTTTATTGAGTCTTTTTTTTTCCATTTCCAGGAAGCTGTTAGTTTCTTCAGCTCAGCTTTTTAATGTTGCTGTTTTTCATCCATCATGGCGGATAGCAGCCATTAGGACTGAATCTAGACGCCACAGATCTACAGATTTAATGACGTTCCACTGATGAGAGAAACTCAGAATAGATATTATTAGTAGTTTATCGTTTTATTAAGGCGTTAGTTGTTGCCATGAGGCCAAGTTGTTCAGTAGGATGA